GTTAGGTAAAAAGATAATTAATTCTGAACGGGCAGGACTAATTTCAATGCGAGAATCATCCTTACCTAATCGCGTTAAGCTTTTCTTCCACTGATTCCCAAGGACTGCGATCTTCACTGAACTCAAGAAGCTCTGTAAATTATTCAGTTTTTTTTAACTGCGTAAGTAAACCATTAGATTGAAAGAGAGAATAATAACTTTCAGTGGTCACACGACCAGCTCTTCCAGACCTCATCTGTTTTCTACTTAGAATATGAACAAGGACATGCATAATTTCGTTTGGGACTTATCGTGTAAGTAAGCATTTTACAAGAGCTTTCGGGTCGAATTTCTGATATCGAATTTATTACCTGAGGATAATACGTTAAACGATTTCCATGCTAGATATCAATCCAACAAACTCTCGGACAAAATGCTCATCCACAGCCTTTGTTCCAGCTTTTCAATCCATCTCATTGTGAAATTTAAGGGGATTTAAATGACTACAAACCTTCCGCAAGTTTCTTTTCACTGATCCACTCTCCCTCTTTGTAATACTTCACGCGCAAATTCTGCACCGAAGATAATAAGATAAGTGAGTATCCGCAAAAAGGAACTCAGTAGAAATTAAGATTCTTACTTAATTAATAAATACTCTGAACTGACATTGAACGTTATGAGCTGATTAAAATAATAGAAGCAAAATTGGCCATTCGATTCATCACTATAATTTAGCAGTAAAAATTCAGTAAAAACTTCGCTTGTGAGAAACTGTTTTTGCTGAGTTTAACTGCCTCAAGCGTAGGTATCTTGTCACACACTCTACCCTCCTGAGGCCTTTTCTAGCAAGAATACTGAGAACAACAGGTCGTGGTACCCAAGCCATGCACTCCGTTTTGTTTAAAAGCTGGTAGTTTTCTTTGGCAAATTTAAAATAAATTGAATCCTACTGTAGAAAATATCTTTCGTTTTTGAATTTAAAGAACAATTTTCCTCCTTCTCCCCCTCCCCCCCTTTTGTATTCTTTTAGTATTCGGACGCGTTGCACGACATTTACACCTACAGTGTACTCAGTTCTTAAAAACATGATCTCCGTGCCTTCCGTCTACGTACCAAAAAAGGAAATCTCTCCATGCGAGTGAGCTGTAAAATACGATCCACATCATACTCCAGACGGGCGACTTTCTTGGCCTGTATGTAGGTCGTGCTCATCTGTGCTATGAGTATGTTGAGCAGAATCACAAGTACAGTTCCCATGTACATTAGCAT